AAACCATGTAAAGGCAAACAGTAATTTGGAAAAAAGCTTATTAAAGCTAGCTTATATTAAGGAACTTATACTCAAGAATATTATCATAGCAGCATTGCTGAGAACAGAATTCATCACAAAAATAACGAATATGCTTTACGAATATTTGCAGTAATTTTTTTTAAACTTGGCTATTAACCATAGGGTTAATTGATTCTTTTCTTTTTGCTCCATTGTGGTTAACATACTCATTCTTCCTTTTAAAGACCCATTTCATTATGCAAATAAAAAAATTGAAAGACTGTGTCTAAGAGAGAAGTCTGCTTTTTGCAGGGGAACTCATGCACCTGTTTCAGCCCTCAGCCCCCACCTCTGCTTCCACTGGCTGCCAAGCTGGAGAGTTCTTGAGCAGGGTTAGTGGGTGTGGGGTCCTTGAATTTTGACTCACATTTTCTTTGTGCCTTACTCTTGTTTTGCCTTATAATTTCTCCCCTTCCAGCTCTCAGCATGCCAACAGCAGCTGCATCATGGCACTCACCCTGCTGCCAAGAGGGCAGGCAGCCTCCTTGGAGACTGTAACATTGCACTCTAGCCAACTGTTAAGAGAGAGACGCTGGAGTAAGACATCCAGCACAGCTGAAATTCAGGTCCTTCTAGGAGGCATTTAGTGGAACACTATGTCCATGGTTATTTTTTAAAGTTAACTTAACTGCTGTAAACTTTTTATTACGGAAGGTTTTCGGACATATACAAAAGTAGAAAGAATCCTGGAGTGCATTGCCATATAGCCTCCTGTCTCTGCATTTCAACCATGATCAACTCATAGACAATCGTGTTTCAGTGTCCAGGGTGTTTTCCCCAGTGTTTATCCAGACTACTGGTAGATTCATTTCCAGGGATCAATGTCTCAAATTACAACTGCTTTCCCATCCTTCTTCAATCTAAGATCTGTCAGCTTAATGATTTTCCTAAAGGTAAAAGATATTAGAGTCTTTTTCCTCCTAAGTTAAGCCAAGATGCTGTGTTAGGAAGTGTCATATTTTCCAATACTGTGCCCTTAATTTTCAAGGCTTTGTTCATTCAGCCAGCCAGTCTACCCAAAACATGGCTGAAGTGTGCAGGATCTCAGAATACAGAGCATTAAGGATCATGGAGTTTGAGCCTCAGTTTTACCGCAACCTAGCTGTGTAACCTGAGACAACTTCCCTTTCTGTGCCTCAATGTCCTCTTGTTTTAACTTGAGACTAGTGAGAGAACACGCCCTAAAGAACTGATGTAAGCCTTCCATGAGTTAAAATACTTAAACTGCCTAGATGGAGCCTGACACAAAGTAAGTAAGTGTTCAATATATGCAAGTTGCTGTCATCACTGTTTTTGTCCCTCACCACTCATTTTACACATTAGAGAACTGCGGCCCAGGTGGGAGAAGCAACCCCATTCAGGTCATACAGCAGTTTTAGCAGGAGAGCTTAAACAAGAAACTACCTGTCTCAGTCCCTGTATTATACTAGGTATAGTTTGACATAGTCTTGTCTTCAAGGAATTATGCTCTGACCTTTAAGAATGGTTTGTACGGGAAAGGAAGAGGATTAATAAAAGCATGAACCAAAGAATAAATATTGGCAGCAGCCAGAGAATTAAACCTTAGACATTGTCTGTTTAGAAAACAAAATGCTGTGGGTAACATACCTCCTTTTTAGTGGAGGTGAGATTTTTAAGAATGCTTTTGTTTAAGAAAGGAGATGATTTGGCTGATGAAGCTGGAGAACATTCTGTACTGTAGGGAGAAAAAGAAGAAAGTTCCATTAGGGATGAGGTCAGCAGACCTAGGAACATTTGCCCGTGGGATTCTGAGAGAAGACAAGATAAGAGAGGACCACTAGTGAATGTCAACAACAAAAGAAATGGATGGACTTGACCTAAAGCCAAGAGGGGTCTGACATTCCTAAAGTTCTTATTTGTTCACTGACTTTAACATGTGCTAAGCATTATTCTACTTATTTACAAACATCAGTTCCTGCTCATAACAATGCTATGAAATGAGTGCTATTATTGATCTCATGATACAGCTAAGGAAACTGAGGCACAGAAATGTTAGATAACTTGTCCAAGGCCATTTGCTCATTAATAAGCAGGATCTGTACCCAAACAGTCTCTAGACTCTGTGTTCTTAAAACACCCTGCCATGCTGCTCCACGATCGCCAAAGCCCTGGATTGGCTTCCCTGAGGAAACCAGCGTATGGTGATGCCCTTTAAAGCGGCTGGAATTGTGGCATCACTACTCACTGATCGCTGTGCTCTCAGCGGACCCAGGGACGCTGAATATTTAAGTCCCAGTCAGGTTTCAGGAGGCAGATTCTGACCACTCATTACATACATGAGCCTTTCTAATAAGCTTTGTCATAACCAGGTGTGGTTCCATTTGTCCTAGTTGATATCCTAGAAAAGTACTCTGGTGTTTAATTCTCACATAAAGTTGTAAGATATCAAGATCACCTCCTGATAGGGATGTGCCTGGTAACTTCATTCATTCAGAGTCGTTCACTACACAAGTACTTCTTGAGAGCGTCGGTGTTAAGTGCTGGGGAAGGCCTGTGCAGGGAGCAGTTCCTTCGCTACAGAATCTGCCTGGAGTTTTCCTTTCTTAGAAACTTCTCTTTAGCATATCAACTGCCATATTTCTCCCAACTTAAACAAAAAGAAAAATCAAAAGAAAGCTCTCCTGACCCCCACTTCCCTTTCCTTTCCAGCTACTGGCCCATAGCTCTTTTCCCATTTACAGCATAACATCTAGGCAACAGTCTGTCCTCGTGTTTGCCTTCACTTTCTTTCCTCTCAGCCACTTTTAAACACACACCAAGCCGACTTTCTCCAACAGATCGCATCCAGCTCCAGAATCAAATTACATCCCCCTGCCTACTAATAGCGTCACTTAGATATCTGTCAGGCACTTGGAATGTCCAAAACTGAACTTTTTTTTTTTCATTCATTTTGTTGGTGGGGGAGGTAATTAGATTTGTTTGTTTAATTTAATGGAGGCACTGGGGACTGAACCCAGGACCTCGTGCCTGCTAAGCACATGCTGTACCGCTTGGAACTGAACTCGACCTTCCCACCCAAGCCCGCTCCCCCAACACTCTTTTCCTGTCCCTGTAAGTGGAAACCCCATCTTTGCTGCTCAGGCCAAAAACTTTAGCTTCATCCTTGATTCAGCTCTTGCTGTCACATGCCACCGTCTATTCCAGGCTTTATCCTCAAAGTCTGTCCAAAATCCAACCATTTTCTCTCACCTTTACTATCACAACCCTAATCTGCATCACAGTCAATCTCTCTTTCCCAGCTGGTCATCTTTCTTCCTTCCCTGACCCCTGTCTCTCGCCACTGCCAACCATCAACACAGCAACAGAATGATTCTTTTAAGACGTCAGTCAGAATAGATCTCCTCTGCAAAAATATGTTCTTCAAAAAAATTTTGATCCCACGTGCAACAATACAGATGAATCTCACACATTTAGTGTTGAGTAGGAAAAAAGCCAGAAACAAAAGAGCTCGTACGGTATGATTACCTTCATTTAAAATACAAAAATAGGTGAACCAATCTATGCTCTTGGAAGTCAGGATGGTGATGGAGGGGGTGGAGAGCAGGTTGTGACTGAAAGAGAGCACCTGGAGGGTCATTTCTCTTTCTTGATCTGAGTACCGGTTGCTCACAGTGTTTTGTTCGGTAGAATTTAGCCAGGTGTCCACTACGGTGTACCCCTTCCTGTCTGTATTTTACACTTCAACAAAAAGTATTATAAAATTGTTACTTCTTAACACAGAAAATTGTTGTCTAGAGTTAGAGATACAAATTTATCAGCATTTATAATCATTATAATCTAAGCCCTATGCAGACAAAAATCTTACCTGCTTTCATTTATTCAGTATTTATCGAGCAGTGGACGCTCATTTTGGCGTTTGAGATACAGCAGTGAACATGAGAGACAAAAACTCCTTAAGCTTCTGAGGGATGATAATCAGAATAAATTCTATAGCATATAACCAGGTACTAAAGGCTTTGCAGAGGACACAGCAGGAGAGGAAGATGAGGAATGTTGGAGTGCAGGAGGTAACGGGGCAGTGTACAGTCCAACTGAGAAGGTGACATGTGGGCCAACGCTTGGAAGGAGTGGAGGGAAGGAGCCCATGTTTATCTGGGACTGGACAGCCAAGGCCTGCGGCAGGAACAGCTGGGTGTGCAGGAGCAACGCAAGGAGGCAGTGGGACTGGAGAGGAGTGAGCCTGGTGCTGCATGTCTTTTGGTAAACTCTTGTATGCAAGATACACCAATTTTAAAGAAATTAGATAACATTGCATTTTAGTTCCAGTGAAGGTCAAGCAATCAGTATTTCTGGTGCACGGTACTCACGTTAGAGGTAAATTTCAAGTGTGTGTCAGGGTGAAGCAGTGAAGTATTCAAGGCAGAGAATACAAGGATGTGTGAGGTAGATCGCTTGCCCTCAAGGATTCTGGATTCTAGTTGGGGATAAGATATATGCATATGAAACAGCAACTAGTAAGGATACTAAAAAATGCCAAATAATATCCTGGGTAATTTTCCCCATAACCACTCTGAAGTGGGCAAGGTCACTTGGGACTATGTTGATAGAAAATTTCACAGGGAATCTGGGGATTCTGGAGAGCCTGAAAGCATACATCAGATTTGGAAAAGCAGAGACAGACTTCGTGGACATGACCTGGGCTAGGAATACAGCTTGAGTGCCAGTTTGTATTGGAGGGACCCGTAGGTGGTCAGTCTGAGTAAGAGTAGGGCTTGGAGTTCACGTCAAAGCCTGGTGGAGATATAGATGATGTATCTATCATTCAAGTAAGTAAACAGCTGCATTCTAATCTGGGAATATTTATATATTTCACATTTCTCAATCATTTTGATATGTTAATACAACATTTTGATATATTAATGCCAGCTAACCTCAAAGTCCATAAGGTCTAAATGACTTAAATGTACATGTATTTTTAGACCGGCAAAGAAAACTCATCCAGTGTGACTGTAGCAAGCCCTGAGACGGATAATAAGGCAGGTCAGACTCTGGAAAACAGCTCGTTGATGGCTGAGCTTCTGAGCGACGTACCCTTCACCTTGGCCCCACATGTGCTGGCCGTGCAGGGCACCATCAGTGACCTTCCTGACCACTTACTCTCCTGTGATGTCAGCGAAAACTTATCAAGGTTTTGGTATGATTTCACTCTTGAAAACTCAGTGCTCTATGACTCGTAATCTTTATGTCTTTTTGCACCTTAACAGCTTCAAAACAAAAAAAGGCTGCCTATTTTATTTAACCTGTTGGATGTTCTTTGCCATTTCACTGTTGAAAGTCTTTCAAAGGGCCTCAGAAGTGCAAAGATCATAAAGCAAATAATATTACATTCATGGCTCTATTTTTAAAAAATAAACCATATCTATATAAAAATCAAACTTAAGATCAACTTCCTTTCCCTCAAATAAATAGAAAAATTAGGTTCTCAAGGTTTTATGAAAGGAGTAGATTCTGTCAACTGGTCTCTCAAAATACAGCACCTCAGATTTATCTTAGAAGAGCTGTGAAAAAGAACTGAGGCATTTTCCCTTAGTTACCACAACTCTGAAGCCTAAGCCTAGAGTGAGTGTGAATTCTCTCCTCTGGTCTGAATTAACATTATCCTCTTTCTGCTTCCACTGTGTTTATAAATGAAGTCAGGAGGGAAAAAAGTTGCCAGTGAGCTTAATTTCATCAGTCTTGATTTAGACATTGATGTGGAAATATAAACCTTTTCCTAAAAAGCAGTGGTAGTCTGCTGATGTAAGAATGCTGTAACAAGAATGCTCTGGGTGCTGCTTTCTTTCAAGTGAGAGTGATAGATTTCAGTTTCCTTAAATCCATGGCAGCCCTTTCCCCCTTGAAGGAATCCTGGGTCCCTGCCTTCTTTTGCTACTTGAGGTTGGGCTCTCTCACCAGCTTTCCAAAGAACTTTCCCTGCTTCTGCCTCACTTGGCATTTGCTCTCCCACCACATATGTTCCCAGTTTATGAAGACATCCACATTTCCTTTCAACCTCTCTGCCTCTTGAAGCAAAACATCTCATGATGATGCAGATTATTGCTGATAACACCCTTATTGAGAAATCTGTTGGCCACAATGCAGATGGAAATGTTTTCCTGCTAGAAAAGCTGCAATCAGCTCATTTCCAATTAACAGTGTCTGCAAAACACCTAGCTATGACTTGTCATTTCTGAATATCTATTATTTTTTCCAAGTAAAACAGAAAAGAACAGCCACTGGTCAATAAACTGTAAAGGGAAGAGGTAAACTGTGATAGTGTATTGTATGCCATGGAATACTTAAATCGTATTTGTTCTGATTAGTAGCAATAGAATTTACTGATTCTGTGCCAAATCTTAAAAACATTTTCACAAAGAGGGAGTGCCATAGCAAAACTGAACACTGTGCATAAAGTTACGTGAATTATTCAAGTTTTAATGTGTTATGCATGTTTGTTTAATAAATGTGGCATGGTCTTAATAAAAATGCTGTATTTAAAAGTTAAAGGAACATTTCTATTGACAAAAATATGCCTCATTCACAAAAATGTTACTGTATGAGGTGAATAAATTATGAATTTATTTATAAAATAAATTAGATCTTCACATAGTTTTCATAAAACATGTCTAGGAAATCTAACTTATTACTAAGGCAAATGTGAACATTTTGTCGCAGTTTTTGTGAACACACAATATCCATGTTAATGTATCTTGAAGCCCAATGTAAGCATTTCATCATTTTGTCTAATATATGTGTTAAATTTTGTCTAAAATACTTGTACATTTCATTCATATGTATGTCTACTGTGTTATAAAGATACTTGTTAAGTATTTTCATTTGTCTATAAAAGATTGTTATATTTAAATAAACATGAATTTTTAAAAAACTGATATTTTGATTATTTTCAGATCCAGAAAAATGGTTTTCTTTGCATTTTTATTCATATCTGAGTGCCAGTTATTGATTCTTCAGGAAGCTAAGGCTTAAGTACATTGTTTTTGTAGTGCAGAGAAATATATGAAACTTACTCTTATGTGTAAACTTCAAAGCATTGAAAACGGTAGATCACTAGCTTACTAAGACTGAAGAGATTTGGGAGAGATCATGTGACCATCTCCAGGTAGATCCCCATCGTCCCAGTTTTGTAAGGGCCAGTCTTAATGATCTATTTTTAACGAAAAAAAATTGTGAAAGTGGCCATTTTAGCTTATATAAATCAATGTCACTTTTAAAACTGGAAAAAATAGTAGAAATCAACCAGCCAACTGAACTCCACTTTATGCAAGAGAAACTAGATGCCTAGAAAGGTTCAATGATTTGTCACCTAGTTAGTGATAAATAAATGTTTACTTTAATAGTGTTAATAATAGTAACATAAGTAACACAGCTTGTGTGCTCTGGTACATGTGAGGCAGCCAGCAAGAGTCTGTAATGGCTCCCTTACAAGCTGTGAGAATCTGAGCTAGTCCCCTAATTTCTGCTGTCCTTAGTTCCCTCGCTTGTTAAATACTAACTGTATATACCTTGCAGAGTTGTGTTAAGTTTTAGATGGTGTATGTCCAGTGCCTGGCAGCATAAATCTTGAACACACCATGGTGTTCTGGGAAAGGGAGCTCTTATAATTCTCATTACTAACCACATACATACAATAGTCTAATGAAATACAAAATATGTACTAACTGAACTCCTTATAGAGTAACATAAAAATAAATAACCACCTGCATTTACTGTAGATCCTCCTTGCCCCATAATTTTTTCTATATTAAATACCTAAGAAAAATATTCCTAAAATATGTTGGTTGACTCTAATGTAATTCCTTAGTTAAGGATTCCATAGGGAATACTTTTTTTCCTCTTACTAGCAAGCATCATGGTCTCTTTCTTCAATACAAGTTATCATTGTAAAGTACTGTATGTATAGAATGTACAAGTGATTTTACTGAATCTTATTTTTAACCCTAAAATATATTCAGGAAGTTCCATGCATTTTTTTCCTCAGTTTTCATTTGCATCCTTTCCTAAGGACAGAATTAAGTGATTCTGACCAATTTATTATTCTGGTTAATTAAGTTTTGATTAACTTAATTCTAGAAACCCAAATAGTTTAAGTAAACATTCATTGACATCAACACTTCTTTTCCCTCTTTCTCCAAGTAAAATGATAAATTGATATCAGTATGAAAGAAATATCTTCTAAAATTCCCAGAGAGCTGATTTCTTACAATACTAAAGGACAGACTAGAATAGCAAAGAAATAATCTCATCCATGTCCTAAAAACAGTGGTATATCAGACCCTACCCCCATACCGCTCATGGTCACAATTGACTGATAAATAAAACACTGTAATATAAAAAAAATGTTAACCTTCAGAAGTTAATATAGTGTCCTATTAATAATGTCCATAATATTCACATGCAATGTAAGTGTATTAGATACATAGTGGAAGGATGTTATGCTTGTTAAAAAAGCTGTTGAGAAATGTGGGTTTGTGGATATTGTCTTTTGAGCATTTGTGTCACATTACTAAGGACATGACCTATATATTATTGGGAGATCAAAAACTCTCAGAATAGATCTGACTCCACTCATGCTACATTAGCCTGAAAGAGAGTATTCTTCTGTGTCAGGAAAATGACTCTTGATGCCATATAGTTTGGTGGATGGGGAGGGTGAAAACAAGAAAAAGAAAGATGTATTGATTGATGCACAGGAACTCTGCTACTATTGCTAGTTAATATAGCAATCTCTTAATCATCTCTTTTAAATTTAATAAATGTTTTATTTTAGAATCTGTAGTTACAGATTTATAGCAAAGTTATGAAAATAGTGCAGAGTTCTTGTATACCTCGCAGCCAGGTTCCACTATTGTGAACATTTTACATTACTTACATACGTTTGCTACAACTAAGGAACAAACATTGGGACTTACTATTATCTAAAGTCCACACTCTATTCAGATTTCTGTTTCCCCCTAATGCCCTTTGGCTCTTCTAGCATCCTATCCAGGATAACACATTCCATTTATTCATCATGTCCCCTTAGCCTCCTTTTGGCTCTGACAATTTCTCAAACACTTCTTGTTTATGATGGCCATAACAGTTTTGTGGAGTACTGGTCAGGTATTTTGTAGAATGTCCCTCAACTGGGGTAAAATTTAATCTAATTCAAATGGTGAGATCACAGCTGTGGGGTTTGGGAGGAAGACTGCAAAGGTTAAGTGCCCTTCGATGAAGTCATATTATAGCAAGGATACAGGCTATCAACATGACATTACCTATTAACCATCATCACCTGGGCAAGGTAGTGTTTGCCAGGTTCCTCCACTGTAAGGTAACTCTCTCCCCATCCTTTTTAAACTAATCTTTGGAACTAAATCACAAAGTGTAGCCCACACTCAAAGGGCAGGGAATTAAGTTCCACCTCCTTGAGAGGTGAGTATCCACATAAATTAGTTGGAATTCTTCCATATGAGACATATCTCCTCTCCAATTTGTTTATTTATTTATCGCTTACTTCTTTTATATCGGGACTCATGAATATTTTTTTCCCAAATCTGTATCATTGGTGGCCAAGAGACATTTACATTTTTATAAAAGTTAATAAAGATAGTTTGGAACATTTTACAAGATGCAGATGAATATGATTTGATATTGGATATGATAATATATTCTATAATTTCCTCAGAATTCATCTTCCTATAAATATCAGATGTGTTTTTCCCTAACTTGCCATGACTGTAACTGTATCCACAATAGACCTTCCCTGCAAGGCTACAAGTGTTGCATTGTGCGTGGAGCCCTCTTACGTACTCGGCCTTTCCTACCTCATTCAGATGATGATTGCATCTTATACTCTTCTCTACAGCAGACTTTTTTTGGTAAAAGCAAAGTTGGAGCTCCTTAAGTTTCTTAAGAAAGAAATGGTTCGTTTACAACCTTTGAGAAGTAATTTTAAGAAGCAGTAGAAGGAAACTGTCTTTTATCAGAGGAAGGAAATGCCCAAGAAACTCCTATTTTTCCTCCTGATTCACCAAAACTCACTGTGTTGCTAAAACAAAGTTGATCTCATCCAATTTCAGAGGGGGTTGGGGATGATGGGGTTGGAGGGGTGGGGAGGGTAGGAATCAATCAAAGTGAGAAGTATCATATTTGTCCTTGGAAGAGACCTGAATACAGTTCTTTGTCAAAAATTTGCCCAGTCCCAACTTTCACCCCTACAAAGGAAATAAATTCCTTACAATCAGAGGTAAAGCTATGGATAATTACATCCAGAACACCCCATCAGTCCAGCAACTCTCAACCAGGCCCACAGACAGTCTGTTGGTTACTGCCCAGGTCAGAGAGGGAGTCAGACAACAGACCATTTCAGAGGTCAGTTAAGGAGACAGCCTCCCACTTAGGCCTGCTGCCAGGGACGGACAATCCAGTGTTTGACATCTGGGTTCTGCAGCTGCCAAGTCTGCCCCTTGTGTGGCTGCAGGTGTTGGCTCTAACTCTGAGACACGTGGACAAGGGAACAGGGTGATGTCGGTTTCATTGTGCCTATATGTGTTTCTGTATTGTATGGCTTTTCTTTCGCTCTTGTTTTCCAAAACGTACATAATTTATTTTGTTTCAAAATTAATGTATTTCTGCATTATGGCAAGGAACATTTGGGA